GCTTCGCAAACATTTCTATGTTCAGTCACGGGATATTCAACTTTTATTTATTTAAACATAATTAAAATGCAATTTTATGTTGTATTGCATTGTAATTGAGTTTAATTAAAACTCCAATTAAAATTCAGTCCTATATGGGAATGCGTTTTAATCGAGTTCATATCATATCATTAAAAGTTAATCCTATGTGTATTATTACAGCGATGGTAAGATGTGTGTGTGTTTGTGTGTCTGTTCCACTGATATCTAAAGAACCACTTGGATTTCAAAACTTGGTACATAGATGCTCTAGGACAATGCACAGATCTGATGTCCGGGTAGTTTGGAGTTAAAATATGTTCACATTAATTGCATAATTCATAATATTTCGGGTTTTCCATCGATATTCCAAGTGTTAATCATTTTCAATGACACTTGATACATATGTGCCTTGAAACAATACACAGATATGATTTCATTTGAATTGACTTTGTATATAAGTGCTTGGGAAATTTGGTTCATAGATGCTATAGAGTGATCCACAAAGGTGATTAGATAAAAACTGAAAAACATGCATATTGATTATCTATAAGCGGAGCTTATATTATTACTGATTGTCTGTCAGTGTCTGTCGTTGTTGTCGTCAACTTTACATTTTCGACTTCTTCTTAAAAACCACAAACTGTATAGCTGTGAAACTTTCTAGGAAGATACCTTGGGTGGTTCTCTCTCAGATTTGTTCATTTAGTGTGGATATGTTCAATTGTCTTATTTATAGGAAATATTTTTAAAAAAATTATATTTTTGACTGCTTGTCCAATTGCTTTGATATTGTATATGTAGGAGTATCAGGTGGACCTCTGTCAGATTTGTTGATTTTGTGACAATATCTTCCATTCTCTAATTTTGATGAATATTTTTGGTCAAAAACGTTATTTTCAACTTCTTCTTGAAAACTGATAATCCGATTGCTTTGTAACTTTATTTGTAGGTACCTTGTGTGAACCTCTATCAGATTTGTTCAATTTGTAACCATATCTTGAATTCTCTATTTTCAGCGAATAGGTCTGTCATTTTTGGCTCAAAAATGATATTTTCGACTTCTTCAAAATTGTTAACCTGAATGCCATGATTCTTGGTGTATATGTACCCTGGGTGGACCTATATCAGATTTGTTCATTTCCTGTCAACATCTTCAATTCTCTATTTTTAGCAAATATTTTCGTCATTTTTCATCAAAAAACATATTTTTGACTTGACCTTCAAAACCAGTAGTCCAAATTATTTGATACTTGTACACATGCAGCTTGGGTAGACCTCTATTAGATTTGTTCATTTCGTAAAGATATCTTCAATTCTCTACTTTCAGTGAAATATTCACTGCAACAAAATCAAGAAAGTTGGTGTCTTGCGATATTAAAGCAGCTAGCATTAAGTTTAAATTGCTTCTTAGTCATTGCTTTCAGAGCATGCATAACAAACAGCGGAGCTATATCAGCCGACAGTCTGCTAGTTTTCGTGAATTATGGCTGAAAGAAGCTAAATGAAATTACAACTCATGTATGAACAATAACTTGGATCTATAAATAATATTGTACTTGGTAAAATACTGTTTTTTCTGCATAAAAACGAAAGAATTTCAAAATGTATATAACAGTATGAACGGCATCATATCGAACGACGAGCAGCGGAGGCCGGGAACGGAAGTTCAGGTCGCATATTGCCTGAGTTCTGCTATTATAGTATCAATATTCGACAACAATACACACAGAAATAGAGATTAACAGCGAACAGAGAGAAAACAAGCTATGATTTTCACCAAAAATAAACCCACACCAGAACACACATAACAATCAATTCACACACCTAAGAATAACTCAAATTGAACTATGACAAACTTGAACACAATGGAACTACTTACTGAAAACAACAGAAAGGCAGAGAGAGGCATTAAAGACATCTGCATCAAAACTCTTTGTATCTCCCAATCATTTTATATAGTATAAAGGGAACGATTTAAGGTGCAAGATTTCCACATGTCTTTCAGAGCAATTAACTACTATTTTTGATTCTTTATTGCTTAAATACATTTGCATATGACACTATAATGGAACTAAACAAAACTGTTACAAATTATTCCTGGTGACATCACAGGGAGCCCAGGAACTATGATCAACTGTACGGACTCCCTATGAGCGGGGGGGGGGGGGTATCGGCTGGTATCTAGTGTAAGAAATATTTCTTATTTCTTACACTAGATAGAGAAAACAGAGAAAACTTTAAACTACACACATACAGGCTGTTACCGAACGTTTCATTCAAATTGACTATAATTGCGTGGTGTTTCATGATGTATCGCAAAGCCAATCAGATTCTGGTCGATACTCCTACGCACACGCGTAGACCGGGTCGTCCCTTTTAGAAGCTTGTATTCATACAATCTGACGTCTGGCGATCGTTCTGATTGGTCAATGGCAGTTTTCAAATTTATAAATGTTTTATGTTCATCAACCGTAAAGTTTGTAAACGTTTTTTTTTTTTTTTTTTAAGAAAGCACTATTTTTTCAACACAGATGGTGATTTTAAACTTGACATAGCTCGTCAAAAACACTTTTTCTAAAATCATGAAACCTAATAATTAGTTGTCTGAGATGAAACTAAATAGACAGGCAGACACTGATTTAACTACTCGGTTATTTATACTTTGGCAAAACAAAATAATAATGTATTTATGTTTATAATAATATTACGTTCATTGAAAAACCTACACGAAACAATCTTTCTGTGCCTTTGTCACAAATAGAAAGGCGAAGAAGCATCGCGTCAGAACAAAACATACAAAAGCAAACAGATTTGATTGCAACCGTCAGGTTTTGTATCAGACAAAAAAGCCATCAACACTTTCCTAGTTCGTGGAGCCTGAGTGTGAATGCGTGTCACACCACATCCAAATTGGTATAATGCTATTTGTGAAATTAAAATGGACAAGTCAAATTTAAATCTGCATATATTTCTCATCATTAGTGTGTTTACGGCCAACCCTCAAACAGTTTTGTCTTTATTGTAGATGTGCTAGTGACACCGTCATCGAGTGAGAATATCGAACGTGCAAGTCAAAAGTATAACAATTGCCAAACATACATGCAAAGCTTCCAAAGAAAAAGTCGGGACCAAAAATGCTCGATGTCAAACGTGCATGCATAGATCCACCCCTGCCTGATCTTTGCTCGTTAAGCACGGTTCATTTTTTGCCGTTGAATCCAAATTTAAAACTCTTAATTTAAAACTCCTAGAATGCCAAACGTTTTTTTTCCATCATCATTGTTATTTATCTAATAATACAGACCAAAATGTCTGGTCATCGAACTACTTTTCGCACAAAGAATGTACCAAATTAAAAAAAAATAAGAAGTTGGTGATTTGTGTCTAAATCAACAACTATGATGTAACACTTTTGAGCCCAAAACCGGATACTGTAAAATACTTTGTTTTCGCTGAAAAAACAACTTTTTTGGTGTTCTGTATGGAATTTATTTTCACTGATTTTTGCCGAGTTTAATCTAAAACGTAGGGGAAAAGGTAAATTCGCTGTATTTTATTTTCACCAAATGATTTCTTCAGCGAAAATTAATTCCAAGTACTAGTATTTTACAGTAATTGATTCATTTCAATTTAATAGGCTGAATGCCTGCGAACTACTTTAATAATGTGTTGGCGTAAATTAAAACTCACTTGCAGTTCAAGGGCCTACATTTTGAATGTAACATTGACACTGAACGTGATAAGCAGTGAACGACAACATTGAAGTGCAGCAATGCCTGTACTTTGAATAATAATCAACCGTTATCACCATGACGACCCGTCAACGCCCAAGGCTTCGTCTTTGAGGCGTAAGTCCAGGTTGCATGCTTCACTTTAAATCTCGGAGCTAAGAAGACCATTGCTGCTAGAGCCGAGTAAGAAATTTATCTAATTATTACTGTAACATGAAAACAAGTTCCTAAATTGGAGGACAAAAAGTAAAAAATTATAATTATAGTATATAATTAAAAAAATTATAGTCAATATATATGGCAAATTATATGATAAAAATTTATGAAACATAAATCATCCTGGAAGACCCATGAATGCTGTTGGGTTTTCTTCAATTATTGATCGAAATGTTTAAAATAATTAAAATAATTAGTTCGATTTTTGGATTATTGGAACGTTTGTTGGCAATATTTCCAAATATATTGTGATTATGTTACTTATTGCCTTGGTTATGCAGCAAGTTGAACACATACAACCATGTGTCTTATTTAGTTCATTGTATCGGTACTAGTAACTAGTCTTTTAAAAAATATATAACAATTGGATTTTAAACCATTAGCTGACTGTAGTCAATTTCAATTTATTAAAAGATTGAAACAACATGAAATAAAATAAAACGCACAATTCAAAAAATAACACTGTTGATAAGCGAAAAAAAACCCATAAAATTGTCTATGTTTGTTATTCTAGTAAGATTTCCACTGTAAACTTTATTATAGTGAATATGACGCCAATGCAATGTTTTTATCCCAACTTAATTCTTCGACATACTTCACATATATTTTTTCTGGTATGTCCTCTTTTTTGAATTCTGAATTGGTGGTTACTAGGACAAAATCTAGTGAGACGATCTACATTTGATAATGCAAGGTACCTCGTTGATTTTTTAATTTCCTGTATCGTTACTGATATGTTAGTAGATTCGGTAACTCTAATAAGCGTACTCCCAGAAGTAAATACTATATCTACCATTACAAATACTTGCAACAGTATTTTCTTTCAAATCAATTAATACATTAAAGGTGGGTGTGAAGTTGAGATATTTATCCAGTAGTTGTATATTTATGTTACGTAAACGGTTGTCATGAACAGCGCCACCAACATTGTAGGTTGGATATGCGGCGTGCATCAGATCGAGACCGGCATCGAAAGTGACATCCGTATCCATTTTATAATCAGTGTGTACGACAAGATGGGTGCTCGCGTTTCCAGAGACGATTTTGAATGGGTTTACACTGAAGAACCACATGCTTCAAGAAGGAAAGAAATTCTCGGTAAGCATTCGTCCCCAGTTTTAAAAGTAACATTGAGATTAATAGGTAGACAACTCAGAAACTGGCTTCACCTTCATGCCTTCATTTAACAATTTGAAAATGCATACTCTACGATCTAGACACATCTGATTTAGACACGGTATCCAGGGCTTGAACTTCGGGATGGAGAGGGGACCCAATTTCAAAGCAAAAGCAATATTTTATAAAATTGCTCAGTATAAGAATTGTATAGAGGAAATCTGTGTTTTTTTTTTGAAGGTCGCGGCGCAGGCTATGGCTGTGCGTCGAGGAAATTGTCTTCGATACGTCCCCTGTGTAAGCCGTGTGACATACGTGTACAATTATTTATGCGAATTAGGCTATTTACCTCATATTTAAACATGTATATTAAAGTTATTTTTTACTCTTGTCTAATATAATTGCATTAAATGAAATCTGTCACTAAAATTTTGACCATTACTGTCCGAGGTATTTTAGTAGAGGTGCTGTAAGGAGAATTGAAAATAATCAGTCTGTGGAACCAATCAACTCGCTTCTTAAAGAAAGTGCATGTCGTATGACACGTACAATCATGACCATTCACATTCATTGAAACCAAAATGGCAACGGAGGCGAATGGGGTACTTACTGTAAACAGATTATTTTTGTTCACTGATTTTTGAATTTCGTTGTTTTCACCGATATGTAAATTTACTAAATTAAATTCACATGAACATGTAGAATAAAATAAGACTCGTTCTTTTCTGCAAAGTTTGTGAAATTGCTCAAAACATCAACATAGTGAAATTAAATGCTAGTGAAAATAAATCGTTTTACAATACTAGTACATGGGAAAATTATAGGGGTGTGCCAGCAGCTTCTCCAGACCTTTCTTTCCAGACAGCCAAAAATGCAAAATCCTTTACTGTTAATTTTCTAATTTAAGTTTAGTAATTTTTCAGCCAGAATTAATAATTTTCATTGCTTGAACTAATGCGATTTTTGATTTTTATATTTAATAAATAAAGCTAAAGTTGTAGACCTTTTTCCCAGACACTTTTGACTCAAAAGGGGTATTTTTCTGGCAGTGTAAATACTAGCAATCGTATCTGTAACGTTTTTGAAATTTTATATGTGGATATACCGTACATAGGAGGATTTACAAGTAAAGCTGTTTGGGTTTATTTTTCATTTTCTCCAGAGTCCTACATCGTTCCAGACAGCCATCTATACCACCTTTTACAATATGTATACTCAATCACATATGTTTTTGTTCCCCCCCCCCCCCCCGAGTATGGGTGATATCAGTTTTCTGTCAAAATTTAAATTTAGCAACTTGAAGAACAATGCTTTTAGGTGATTGAACATTGATCCCCTTCAAATAATAAATGCTTAAATTGTAGCCTCGATTGCAGAGAGTTTGGCTCATAAAAAACATACCATTTGGCAGCATATTTATAATGATTTGTAATCACATACTTGTTTAAACAATCAAATTACAGTTGAGGGGTTGACCATTGGATATTTTTTATTACTTAGTGCTGTAAACAATTTTGTTAGCTTTTGTAGATATTGTATGTGTTGTTTTTATAAATTTTGCCATTCAATCGATCCTTAATTGTTATAGTACTAAAATTTATTTCATAAGACTCAATTCTTACTGCGTTTTCACTAGAAAAAGTTACATTGGCGTAAGTTGCACCCAATAATTAAACTATAATGATTTCATTATCTTGCGTTTACACCAGCAATGCTACAAGAGACGTAAATATGGCAGTCGCTGGATAATTCTTACAATGGCGCCGACATGTAGATATGCAATGTTTCGCTTGACCGTATTTCTTTTTTGTACTTTTTTATTTGAGCAATACCGGATTCGGCTGATACCCCGCCCATCCTAAACCCCGCCCATGGGCGATGTTTCAAATAGTGGGCGATGTTTTGGTCCACACATTGCCTGACTGAACCAACAAACATTTTTACAGACCCCAATTTTCCCGTCCAACATCTTGTATCGAGTGCGCTATTTCAAATATGACTCCAAAATAATTCACTGTGAAGTCGAAAAGCATTAAAACTTCAATAAAACCAGTGCTGTATACGAATTGTTGTTGCGTATTATGACTCGTTAAAATACATTTCACTCGAATAAAGTCTACGCTTGAAAAGAATGTTATTTACGAAGTTTAAAATATCCAAGCCTTCCTGGTTCGAGCCTCTTGGTTGTTATCAGTAATGTTTAATCCTTGTCTGTATCGCATTCCAGACAAAAAGTCGATAAACAAGAAATAGGCAAACTAAAATGTCTCCCGCGTTTTACATACGACATGATTATTAAAAAACGGTTAAGTTAAGCGGTCGTGTACGTTCTATAAAGCTAACTTTGTACACATAATCTTGTACTGACGTGTTTTTTATCCAAAAAAGAAGGTTCCCTTTCAGTTAACTCTTCGCGTTCATGGTTTTTGTGAGAGTTGGAAGATTTTTTGAACACATGACAAGTAACTATATTGATTTGCGTCAAGCTGGATGGCCTGAATTTAAATATCAGTGCGTGAACTCTGGAGGTCATTGCCCAATGCTGCACGTGGTTATTATAGTTCAGTCGAAATGTACGTGAATATTGCGATCGAAGTGCGCTGTCCAGAGTTTATTATATTATAGTAACCAATGTATTAAAACACTTTGAATTTATACTTTGCATGATTATATTTGGTCAACGCGAAACATTATTTTTTCTAGACCATTTTTATCAACGCAGGGGTATTTTTCCCAGACAAGATGGGCCTCGTAATATCTGCCAAAAGATCGCCCGGGCGATCTTTTGGTCCACATTTTTGTTAAAAAAAATCAAATCCTCCATGAGATCGCCCAGGGCGGGGTATCAGCCGAATCCGGTAATAGTTCTGGGCAATATAAAATGTCGTAATGAGATACACACATATGAACTTGTTGAAACATGGAGCCAATCTCGTTTTAGTTCTGTGTTGGAAACAATTGGTATATTTCAAGTTTAACAACGTATACCGGTCAAAATAATAATCTTAAGCACCTTTAACACATATTGCCAATCATTCAACTTTAAAATAAGATAAACCTAAATACAGTTGATTTTGGGGCACTCAGTTTAGAGGCGTAAATATGGTGGATAATATGCACACCGATGCTGACTCATACATAGTACAGTTTTGGTTGACCATACATTTCTGTCTTATGTGCACTTGTTTATCAAAATGAATACTGCAAAATACTTTTGCTATTTTTGCTAAAGGAATAATTCGGGGAAAATAAAATCTATCGATAATTACCCCCCCTCCCCCCATGTTTTACATTCACATCACAAAAAATCAGTGACAATAAATCCCATACAAAAACACCCACAATTTCTCTTCAGCAAAATATTAATTCCAGGTAAAATAAAGTATTTTACAGTTGTGGACAATTCAGGGCCCTGTAAAACGGGTTGAAATTAATATTTAAATGATTGTCGATTGGACAAGTTGATGAATGAGAGTGCCTGTTCTAATTGATGATGTGCCTATCCCTAGTTAGTCACTTAGTAAAATATTTGTACAGTAACTTTGTTAATTTGTCCACAGGGTCAGACAATTTGTTCATTTACCTGTCCCAGCTAAAATATGTCTGTCTGGGATAGGCGGACATCCCTTAATTCCCTCTGTAAAATGTCATAATACAAATGTAATAAACGTACATATAAATGTATTGGAACCAAGCAGCATGTTATGAGTTTAACAATGTATACTGGTCAATATAACAATGTAAACTGAAATGCTCCATAGAAATATATTACCATTTATATTTGACAGTTTTCAATCACTATTATTGTGACAGCTGTTGCTGATATAGTAATAAATTTTCAATTTTAATAGCATTGAAAAAAAAAAATAAAAATATTTTTAGATTCCTGAGTACAACATTGATGAGTGTAATCAGAGTGACTACTACAGTAAATGTTTGTACTAAGCACTAGTAGTGATAATTAAATAAAGTTATTTTTATTGAAAAGTCTAAATACAAATAATTACATGTCATTCAAATAAAAATTAAGTAGGTTGCTTTAACATTGAAAAATAAGGCAGGGTTAGACTTACCCAAATTTTAGCCTTGATCAAATTTTGTGTGCGAACATGAACCAAAATATTTGGGCCGGTACTACAGTATGAATAAGTACTAGATTATGTAATTGCTATATCTTTGTCTAAATGCGCAAATTAGGTACGTGACCATTGTTGCGCTGTCTCAAAATCTGTTCACAATGAAAACAGTAGTACAATGGCTGTTAGAGAAGTCAATTGGACTGCTGAAAAAAACACAAAAGTTCAGTCTGGTTAGGAGATATTGTAATAGAGAATTTCAGCACAGGTGAATAAAAAGTCAAGATTTCTAAGGGCCGATTTTAAAGCGATAGTTGACAACAACAAAAAGAAACTTTTCCCATGTTCTCAAAACTATTTGTGTCCACCAATGTCCGGTGTCTAGATAGGTCTTGCCACTCTCACAGAGTTTCGGTTCAACAGTTTAAAACAAACTATTTAAAATCAGATTGAACTGATTATAAGTACGGTGCCTATTCGGGGGTGTGCCATGTGTCTATTCGAGGGGTAAGACACCTCTGATGTAACAAATCTACATTAAAAAAAACCCAGATTGATGCTTTGTGACATGAGATGTTGGAACTATTTTTGGATGCATATGAGATTTGTACCCCGTGATTGTAATCACCATGGCAACAACTATATAAACTGCTACTTTGTGATAACAACCATGGCAAATAACCTTTTTATACAAATTAAGGCAGCAGAGCTTTGATTTGTAAGGCTGCTTGTACCTTGTATGTGTACCATATTTGTCTTCTACATGGCCCTTTGGAGAAAGAATAGTATTTTGAGGGCTGGCTTTAGTACTATTTCAATGCATTATAGCCTAAATACAATAGTCAGTACAGCAGAAAATGTTTGTACCTATTTACAAATTGCAACAAGGTGAGTGTGAAATATCAAGAATAAAACCTTCTTTTGGTTCTAAAAAAGACGTCACAATTTATGTTGGGAAATAAAAGTATAGAACAAATTTCAACTAAAAAAACAAACAGAGGCTTTTATTAGTAGCAAAAAAACAACTTATTTTTTGGGTAAAAATTGATATTTTTAACTTCTTGTTAAAATCTGCATGTCTGATTGCTTTGATATTATACAGGTACCTCTAGGTGATGATGTCTTCAAATCTCTAATTTGAAATGTGCATTGCAAACAGCGGAACTATCTCAGCCATTTATAAGTACAGTAAATATCAACAATTCTGATAATAATTGTATTGTTTAATTTGTAGGTAAATACCCTGAAATCAAGAAATTGATGGGACATGATCCCAACCTCAAGTACATCGTGATTGCTATGGTGATGGTACAACTGATAGCAGCCTACCTGGTACGCAATGCATCATGGACAGTTGTTCTGCTGGCTGGCTATTGTTTTGGTGGTGTGATCAACCATTCCATGTCTTTGGCTATCCATGAAATCGCCCATAACTTGGCATTTGGACATAGTAAACCAATGTATAACCGTATACTTGGTATATTTGGTAACCTGGTCCTTGGATTCCCAGAGTCAATTACTTTCAAAAAGTATCATCTGGATCATCATCGTTACCAAGGGGATGACTTATTAGATGTAGACATTCCATCGCAGCTGGAAGCCAAACTCTTCAAACATACTTTCACCAAATTAATATGGGTGATATTGCAACCATTCTTCTATGGCTTTCGTCCACTCTTTGTGAATCCTAAACCTGCAACCTTCCTAGAAGTGCTTAACATTGTAGTGCAGCTGCTGTTCGACCTCGCTGTTCTTTACTGCTTGGGTATAAAATCACTTGTATACCTCATTGGTGGAACCTTCTTGGCTATGGGTTTACATCCTGTTGCAGGGCATTTTATATCAGAGCATTATATGTTTAAGAAAGGTTATGAAACATACTCATACTATGGTCCTCTCAATATGATCACTTTCAATGTTGGATATCATACAGAACATCACGACTTTCCCAGCATTCCTGGAAGCAAACTGCCTCTGGTAAGAAATATTTCATTATTCTCTCAGTGCTCAGAACTAAAAACATACCTACTTCTAGATCCAGTACTATGTTACCAGGGGTTATTACCATTCTGAGTGAGAGAACTGAAACCATACGTGCACCTACTTAATAAGTTTATTTTTAGCTCTGCTGTCATCATAGATAGATGATTGTATAGGTGATTGTCTGTCAGCGTCCGTCTGTCAACAATTGCATTTTCGATTTCATCTTGAAAACTACCAGCTCAATTGTTTTGATACTTGGTATGTAGTCACCTTGGGTGAACTTTCACGTAGCTATCTATTCTCTATTTTTTCAAATATATTCATCATTTTTGGGTAAAAGATTATTGTTTTGAATTCTTCTTGAACACTATCAACCAGATTGATTTGATATTTGAGCTGTACGTATATGATGAAGTTAAGTTCATACGTTTTCAACAGCCACATCCAAACCACCTTTTCGCTACCACAATGTTCTTGTAGGACAGTGGAGCTATTTCAACTGTCAAATCACATGTTACCATAAATAATATCTGAGGGACATAATGTCTTTGTTGTTTATAACTTTATACCTCTAATAATAATAATTTTATTTATTTCTAAAGGTCAAGAAAATTGCTCCAGAGTACTATGATGATTTACCATGCCACACCTCTTGGGTTAAAGTACTTTATGACTTTGTGACAGATCCACAGATTGGTCCATATGCACGTATCAAGCGCAAATCTAATCACAATGCGAGGAACGGAACAAAGGCTGAATAATTAATTGCTATAGGTCCTGTGGATTGCAAGGAATGGGTCTTGAATAGAATTTAAAATATTCTGTTCATAATATGACAATTATAAACATTAGTTGACATCAACACAGGATCTTATTGCGGTGCTCTTTGTATGCAGATATAATAGATAATGCTTTTATAGAGTGCCATTTTATAAATATGAGGTTTAAATTTAGACATTTGGTACATCGAAAGATTCTACATATTGTGCATATTGGAACATTACAAACTTAAAAATTTGATACTATTTGCTGACTGGTGGTGATATATTTGATTGAAGTGTATTTGTAGTTGTAAGTCATGTTGCCTAAAGTGGTGATTCTCACCAAATCACCCATGTGTTTTGAATTGTGTATCATTATGTCCCTTAAATCAAGGTTGAATTCCCAAGTAAGTTGGTGACTGTATGATGCCTTGAAAAGTTCATTTATGATTTTTCATTTTACTCAAAGTTTAGAACAGGACATAACTACAGGCACAATCCCAAGGACTGAAGATTCAAAATATTTTTGTTTATCCTTGTTAAACAATAAATAACAACAAATTAAAATCAAAGTATACCTATCATTGCCCTTTTATGACTGTGCTTATTCTGCTCTTCAATTTGGTATATTTTGGAAATTTACAAATTCATGCAAATTTTACACATTTAATGTCCATCCTCAACATTTCATTATCCAGATCTACTTACTCACAACCATCCAACTAGTTTTGTTCTAGTGTTACTTTTATCCAAAGGTAAACAATCTGAAAAAAATAACATTAAAATATGCAGCCACAAAGCATTAGAATACCGAAACACACTTTAAAACATTATCTACTTAACTTATTGGTTCCTGTGTGTGAAACAGTGCGAGTCTTTGCAGTTGTCTGTATGAAATGATGACAATATATATTAGATTTCAGATGCACGTTTTTGTTGATGAGCTGGTTGGCTGGCAGCCAGTCATTTTTTCACAATGTTCCTGCATCAAAGTTACTGTGTCAAACATTTACTTTTAAGCTTACTTTCAAAGGCACTACATTAGATGGAGACTTGCCACAACTACTTGCCACTTTCATGTCATGCAGTAATATTTTAGTCTGGTGTGTAGACCAGGCATCTTGTTGCAAATTATTTGTAATTTTCTCATTTTTTGCACATATTTTTGGTTCTACTGAAAAAAATTCATTCCAATAACGTATATTGCCCTCCAAAAAATAATTTCTTAAATGATAAGACCAAGAAAAAAAATGTTTATTTTTATGGTCATTGTGTAAGTCAGTTAACAATTAAAATATATATAAAAAAAAAGCAATGTTAATGGTGCATTTGTGATTTTGTAAAACAAATTGTCCAGAATTATTTGGCCTTCCCCCCTTGGTCCTAACAGTTTTTAACAGTCGCCAAGAAGCCTATCATTCTTGTGAGATGTTCAATGTGAATAAATGTATTTGGATAGGTACACATGGTTTTAGTTAGGGCTTTCATTGTGTATTTCTATAACCAAGAGCTTCCATCATTTATTATTGTTATATGTTGTATATATATTGCAGGGTTGGTGGTAGTGCGTCTGGTCAGAAAATTTCATTTTGCAAGATGGCAGTTTTTCGTGACAATATACAAAAAAACTAATTTTTACCATCTATGTTTTAGTTTTCAAACTACAGGCCAAACTAGTTTATTTGGTCATAGCCAGAAAACAAAAGAACATGAAAGAAAAATACATTTTAATTCGTTTTCGCATTGTTGCGACCTGAAAAGTGATCCATATTGTCATAGTTGAGACAAAATCAAATTACAATTTTTAAAATAAATGAATTGGACAACAGTATTATTTATCACTAAAGGCTACATGTTCAGTTTTACAATGATTTGACACGACTTAAAATCAAGCCTTTTAGACTTGCCAGAATTGGTTATTTTTTTTCTGATAAATTGACAAAAACTAGGATTTAAACTGGAGTTGAGGCTGAACAGGCACAATATTGATTTTTGGAAACTGCACCCTGTAAATTGACTCAAAAATGTTGGTCCTGGTACATTTTCACACCAGCTGAACCCTACGAGAGGTTTTTAAAATAATTTGACGAAAACCAGTCTGAATTTACAGAATTAGGACCCAAATTGACCAAAAAGCTGGTCTGGCAAATTACCTCACCAGATGACCCTCTTCCCCTTGTTACTATTTACCTTGACACTATTGGGTACTTAAAACTGGGACTTCATCACTAACATTAAATGTATTCAAAATTATTGGTGTCACATTTGAAGACACTTTTTTTTTTTATACATGTGTAGTTGTGTCAATATTTCAATGGAACGGTGATCAGACACCAAATCTTTTTGGAGCTTATCAGATAATGTCCAGTTTTTGAATATATTTGTTTCTATTGCATTCAATTACAAATTAGTTATGTTAATACTGTAAAACAGCTTTTTAAACTTATTTTAAGCTACCTGTATCTGTGCTGATTCAGCAAAAACTCTTTAAAATTAAATTTTTGTTGTGTTGCTTAAAATAACCTAATTCGTGCATTTTGCCAGATTTGAATTATTTGAAATGGCGAGTAGCTATTTTGAAATGTTTTGCAGTAGTTGCGATGCTTGAATTGTGACATTATAATCTTAAAATAAATCCCATGATGTGTATTATGCTGCACATAGTTGAATACAGTGAATGAATTGTGAACATTGGTAGTCTGTTATATTTTTTTTCTCGCAATCAATAGCTTTCCTCAACGTAATTACCCAACCAACCTTGCCCCATTAACTTAAGATATATCGGTAATTGCCCCCACCATCCTTGCCCCATAAAGACGCAATTACCCAGAGCCGACCATGCCCCCATAAAGACCCTTTACTCCTAAAGTAGGATGCAACATATACCAGTAAGGGAATTCCATTCTCAATTCGAGTTAACTGCATGGGACACCAATTACACCTTTGCTTCTTGTGTTTGGGTGTTAACATGGAATCTATCAAAGCTGAAAGATAAACGTACAGTCTGTTTTGTCAGATTACATTAATTTTACAATGTTTGTTAGTTCATTAATACGGTACTCCATTGTACAGATTCCACCATGATTAATTGCTATGTTTTGAGTTTGTAATAAGGAAGAGTTAAATTTTTTAGTTTGGAGATTGTTTTTGACTGCACCATGCTATTTTTTGAGACAATATTCAAATTATTTTTATATACAAAAGAATTTTCTCATCTCAAAAGAGGAATAAAGATACTAACATGAACTGTGACAATGTATATTTTCTGTATCAGAATATCATATTGTAATCAGTACCGGATGTGTTGACTACGATGTAATGTAACACATCACACCATGTTTACGACACCATAAACTGAATGACTTCAATAAATTTGGTAAACCCTTATAGTTGTAAATAACCGAGGCGTACACCTGTATTGGTAAACCCTTATAGCTGTAAATACCCGAGGTGTACACCTGTAGACTCTTTACTAAAATCATAACATACTTTAGTTTCCTCATAAAATTCAATATCGCATTTGGAACAATGTCCACCGGGTCAACTACAACAGATTGGGCCATATGGCAGGTCCATACACCATAAACTGTTTGAAATGTTTGATTATTTAGCAATTTTGAAATCAGCATCACAAAACTGATGGGAAATGCATGTAGTTTTGTCTGGCAAACATCTTTCCCACATGACAACTCTCCCTTTACTGGTTCAGTTCATAGCAATCTGACAAAAACGGGGCTTTAGGAGGGAATCCAGGCCCAGCAACCTCTGAAATTGATCAGAAAAATGTTGTCCATTTCCTTCTAGATGGCTCCTTCGACTTGTGGGATAGGTTTTTCGCAAGTCAACAAAAATGAGGATTTAAATAGTCCAATTTGGTCCATAAATGCCTGTAGTGCCATAATTCCAGCAATCAGCACCCTCTATTGACCAAAAAATGGCACATTTCCCCTATAGATGACTGACCCCTTTACCTCTCACGAGGGTATTTTCCATAATTTAAAATCATACAAGTTTTAATGCACCCATAAATGCCTGTTTAACATGCATTTTTAGCAAGGCCAAAAAAATCTGGTCTGGCACAGTTCCCCTTGTCCTATTATCAAATCTGAACCTTTTATGAAAGTTCTTTTTCTTGAATCAAAATATTTTTAGAATAGCATTTGACTATGTTCTATTCAAAACGAATAATGTCAATAAAGTTATTGTTTCCATTTTCTCTTCATCGGTTTGTGTCCTTCCATCAGCATTTTATCAGGGTGAAACCGGTGACAACTGATGAAAGGTGGTCTTCTGCTATTCGAGAGAGATTGTTGTCCCACTGATTTAGTTTGTTCTCCAAAAAACTTTTTCCAGCATCCATCAGAGTAAGATTGTATTGGTCCACTTGGACACTTGCAGATGGCCAGTAGAGGTTGTGGTTCTTGTTTTTTTTTTTTTGTATTTTAATATATTTTTATTGGGTACTCATAAAAATTTACATATCTGTAAATAAAGAGGTTATGCTTACATTCCTGTATAACTCAAAGTTTTTCAAAGTGACATTTCTCAAAGCTTCAGAGGAAGAATGGTTTATTGCTCAAACCCAGAACCTTTGTTTGCTTTTGGTTCACATGGACGGATTTTTCACTAAGATCACTATATTCAATAGATTGCTACTTGTCTATCTCGTGCAGTTCTAGTTTATACCATTTGCCCCTTTATTCCATATATGGTATTAAAGGGGACCACTTTTTTAAGGGCTGTATCATTTTATTGTTGTGGTTTGCTATCCAATTTTCACACTTATAGACTCTTTTCATGTACGTTAGAATACCCTTGAAATTGGGTCTTGTGTCATTTTACAGTGGTAAATATGTTTGCTAACTAACAGGCTAATAACATTTATTGTCAGCGATTCGCCTGGATCTGATACTATTAAGCACATTCTGCTCGGTGGTGAATTTTGTTTTAATATTTTTCCCCAACTAAAAAGTAGGTATCTCCAGAGTGCAACAACTTATTCACATTCATAGAAGATATGTTCCAAAATTTCTAGATTCTCCTGAGAAAATGTGCACATCTGTGTGGGAAACGTGTCTGGGTTTATTTTATGAAGTTTGTCATTTGTATATTATGTTGGTTTACTATGTTGGTCGCTCGACACCATATTCACCGCCTCCTTTTCGGTACCGACGCCCACTCGGCGTCCCGGGGAGGAAATCTACTCACCACGGCACTTCGATACCTCTCCTTCCCGGAAACATGCTTTCCAATACGAGACTGTTTTTTCTGTAAGTTCGGCCATTTAAAATCATATTCTGGACAAGATTTTTATCAATTAAATGGTCGGCTTCCATTGCTGCTCCGAATTATTCAGAAAATCATGGCAGCGCCAAAACCGCACAAATTCATTTTACGCCACTTTACAGCGGTTTTCACGCAGACACCAGTTAATTCCGTTGTTACACAATGGCTGAAGCAATTTCACATCGACCAGACACGCCTCAAAACAGATGACGAGATTTGACAGGATCGGCCAATGTGCATGCGTCTAAAACAGCTGGTACTAATATCCTAATATTCTATTTTCCTAATAACTTATTTTGCACTCGTACAATGCAAACTACATATTTGATTAGGTTTATTGGCCATCAAGTACCATCTTATGGCACCCAATTCATATATCACCAACACCATAGTACAGAGTTGTGTTAACATTGAATCAAAAATAACACTAATATACTAACTGTTTATTTAATTAATTGTAAGGATGAGATTACATTGTGAAATGGCCATGATATACCACGGATCCTCCTATCATAGTTCTACGAGCAATTCTGTCTTTTCCTTCCCATATAAAATTATACACAGTCTTTTGAGCCTCCTGAATAAACTCATTCTAAACTTCAATTGTACTCATAATATAAGTGAACGGAAAATTACTTATTATCTGATATTTAAAACTTTACCGACCTTCAGTAAGTAATTAATGTATTATCAATGAATGTATCTGTCGTCTTTTCACTGTACAAACATTTCCGGGATCGATTTGGTTCTTCATGTCAAAACTGGTGATCTCTCTGAACGACTCTAACCTTTCTGTTTATTTCACTTCAACGCAAAAGCCTTATATTCGGATACTATTTGAAGTCACTGACATAAAGCCCGCCATCTATAGTTACATTATTCAATCATATTGTAGATCTACTCTGTTCATAACATTAACCCAATGGTAAATACTAATACACATGTACACATTGTTAATAACATACGATGACAGTGCTGTGTTATTCTATACCGACATGCGCGCCGGAGAGTCACACTCAGCATTCTCGAGACATATAAATGATAACATTTATTGCTCAATAGTTACACTTCACTGGGTTCGCACGTGATTGATTAATAGCTCAAGCCCGCAAATTCTGCCCATAACCACATGGGTGTCGATCTCAACGTGTTACCGCCACACACGGCATAATATACATTATCTGTGGTTATCAACATTAATCATCACATTAAAATAATACGTAAATAATTAGATATAAAATGCGCGAACTGCTTCAAATTAAAAGATGATCCGAATATTTAAAAATATCACAGTATTTTATAACCTGATTAAGCAGAAAATAAACATATTTAGTTGTAATAAACATGTCCATGTCTCAAATGATCAATCACAGCGAAAAAATAATGCGATGCGCGCGCGCGGGCGTGCGTGCATGCGTGCGTGTGTGCGCGATGAGCATGGGAATTTTGATGAGAACGAACTCCGAATAGTTTAATGCGCGTTACTTATCATCACTAAACAAAGTAGCTTTGCATAAGATCATATTCGAATTTGTTCGAACTACAAGTCCTAGTTGGTTAACCTAGTTATGCTTAATCCATCCTGTCATTTATTCAGTTTAAGAACACGTGTACTATTGCGCAAAACGCAAAGATTCATGGGAAGGAGATTGAGGTGAGCACTGGCCATGCAATCTCTCTCACATACGTCTTTGCGTTAGTCGCAATAGTACCTCTGCCACATGCAGGCTTCAACTTTGTGGCCAACTTTGTTTCACATGAAACTGAACTTCAAAACCGGAAGACAATTACGTGACAAACTATTTATTAGTGTCTGACTTCTGTAAAAACGTAAATTTGTTATCGCGGACCACGTTGTGCAAAGTAATGTTATTGTGTATTGTAATCTAGTAAAATGAACATTTATTCCGA